CMAACTCCCATAAGGCATAGACCAAGTAGCTGCAGTTTGGGTTGGTAGCAGAAGTTTCAGATCCCAGAGGAACATAGAGCTCTTGTAGTCAAAGCTCTATTTAGAACAGCAATGATTTTTCTATTACTATTTTTATTTGTTTTCATTTTATGTATAATGGTGAAAAGTGGTCAGATTTTTTCCCTTTGAAGTAAGGTTTATCTTTTATTTTTCTTCTTTTTATTTTATTCTGTGTGCTCAGTTTCCTTTGATGTTCACAAAGATGTTATGCATAGACAGATTTCTTAAGTGTATCTCCATATCCAGGTCAGGAAATTCCAGAAGAAGGGAGAGAAGTGGAGGAATATTCAGAAGAAGAAGAAGAGGAAGAAGAAGACTCAGAGTCCGAAGAGACATCGCAGCAACAGCAGCAGCAACAACTCAGTGAGGAAGCTCTTGCAGAGACCGGGTCATCTACTGCAACTTCTCAGACACAGCAGCAGCAACAGACTGCGCAGCCTGTTCCTCCAACTCAGMTACAGGCGCCTCCCATGCCTGGGCCTCCTCCACTGGGACCTCCTCCAGCCCCTCCACTGAGGCCCCCAGGCCCACCCACTGGCCTTCCCCCTGGCCCTCCACCAGGTCAGTATTYGGTTTACTCTGCTTCAAAGTATTCAGGCTCTCAGTACTACAGGCAGTGGTATCATTTTGGGAGTTTCAAAGCTGCAGAATGTGTTGCACATGGAATATATATACCCAGTTACTGACACCTGTCTGTCAGCTGTCTACATCGTTGTTGCTCTACCTTGCTTTTGAGACATCARGCTCCTGTAGCTGTAACCTTCCTGATGGGGATTTGTTAGAGAGCCTTTGTTAGAGCCAACACTAGCAGTAGCTGAGCCAGTGTATGAAGCAGAGTAAAAGAGCAGAAGAAYGATCAAATGCCGCAGAGAAGTTTTTTAGCTGTTTAAATTCTGACAAACTCAGCTCAGAAGCTGTTACCAGTTACTACTTCATTACATGGGGAGGAATCCTCTTTCCATGATACTTCACTATTACGATGAAGCTTTGACTGCTGCCTCTTCTTGAGATTTTTAGAAATTCTAGCAGCTAGCTAATACAGCTTTCATTCATATGTTGAAGATCTTTATAATTAGCTGATGAGATAGTTGCTGGGATATATTTTTAACTGAATTAAATTTCACTTTTGTTGCATGAATGCTTTCAGGAGCTCCTCCATTCCTGAGACCTCCTGGGTTACCAGGGTTGCGTGGGCCTTTGCCTCGACTGCTGCCACCAGGCCCTCCCCCTGGGCGACCACCTGGTCCTCCCCCAGGCCCCCCACCAGGTCTGCCCCCAGGTCCTCCTCCACGTGGTCCACCTCCTCGTCTGCCCCCTCCTGCCCCACCAGGTAAGGGGTTCTGTTCCTTTTTGCAGTTTTTGCTGTGGTGTTCAAGCCAGTGAAGTATAATTGGTTGCCAGTTTGCCTTTGTTCCTGTCTGTGTGGCTGCATTATGCTGTGCACTATTACATTAATCTGTGCAATAACAAGTAAGTGCTGCACCTAGTTTGGTAGCAAGAAATCTGCCCTCAAAAAGGGAGTTTCAGAGTTTAAACTTCTGGTCTGCTGGACTCTTTCTGAATAGCCTCTGGATTGTATAGTAGAGCTCCACTAAATGACTGGGAGATCGGGGTATTTATTGTTTCTCCCTGGGTCAGACAATCTGAAATTCCAATGGGATGGACTGCCAAGAAGCTTTATTCTCAGGTTTTAACTTTAAAATTTGAAAGAGAGCAATATGCAAGCTCCTGGGGCTTTCAGAGTCTACAGAGGAGCATTTTCAACCCAGCACTTAGTGCAGGGTTGAAAACTTTTTTAAAGTCAGTGCTACTGTATCTTGTTTAGTTTTGGGTTTTGTTCTTGGCGTTCTGAGCCTGTGCACTTTTTTGATAAAAAACGTTTTRGAATTTTCAGATGTGGAAACAGCTCATGCTTTGTTTTCTTACAGGTATCCCTCCTCCTCGCCCAGGCATGTTGCGGCCACCTCTGGTGCCTCCGTTAGGACCTGCCCCACCTGGGCTCTTTCCACCAGCTCCCATTCCAAATCCTGGGGTGCTGAGCGCCCCGCCCAGCTTGATTCAGCGGCCCAAGGCGGATGACACCAGCGCGGCCACCATYGAGAAGAAAGCTACGGCCACCATCAGTGCCAAGCCGCAGATCACCAACCCCAAGGCAGAGATCACACGCTTTGTGCCCACTGCCTTGCGAGTGCGCCGTGAGAATAAAGGGGCTTCCGCTGCTTCCCAGAGAAAACAGGATGATGAGCCTGCCCTCCCGTTAACCAAAGCTGCCCCCAAGGCTGGATCATCTGCYCCTATCTCTGTACAAACAAAGGATGATGTCTATGAAGCCTTCATGAAAGAAATGGAAGGTCTCCTGTGACCTGTTGTAGTCCTAGTCAGCTTTCCTGCCCCTCTGAACACAGATCAGATCACTGTGGAGGGAGAAGAAGGAAAAGTCCTCCTGCAAGCAATGAAAGGGCTCACATGACTGGAAATAGTTCCCTACCCACAGGTTAACTTRCCAGTGTGCTGTGAATGGAGACCGCTGCAGTTGAGGTGTGCCTGGGGACCTCCTTTCAGAGCCACCATGTCCACTTGGTGAAAGGAAATTGCAGTAACGAAGGCGATGCTGCTCCCCTCAAGTCCTCCCCCTTCCTTGGAGGGAGATAATGATGCCCTGGGGATGGGGGTGTTGGAGAGGGAGGATGACTATGCTCTGCCTGAATCCGTACACACCCYGAGTGCTCTGGTGAGGGTAGTGGAACAGGTTTTTATGGAGCCTGAAAAGTGTTAGCAGCATTTCATACACAAATGGTTGTCCAGTTTTTATTTTCTGTACTGKTTTTTTTTCTGTAAATATTTTATAATCATGTTTTTTAGTTGCAGTGAGGTTGATCAATCATCTTTCTTCCAGGGTAGTCAGGGAGGTAATCTGTTGTGTATACTGTACACTGGAATTTTACACCCTATTCCCTTTATGGTCATCTTGATGGGTTTTAGTTGGCTGGGAAAACTTCATTTTGTCTTGTGAAAGACAATAAATGTTCAGCGTATCAAAATACTGTTTTCCTTGTGATCTGTGTTCCTAATCATCCCTTTCAACATTTATTGGTAGCTAGTAGAAACTTAAGTCCTGAAATACTATTAATAATTACAAAACAATTTATTCTATATATTCTTATTGGAAGCTYTGTTTCATATCAAGCCTCAGAGAACCACTGGGTGCATCATGGACAGGATACCTTAAGTAAAARTTGGTCAACAATTTTAATGTTAAAAGATTAGCTGACAGCTAATTTTACTTGTGGCTAATAATCGATATTAAGTTACCAGACAAGCAGATGCCTCAAACAATATATTTAATTGGCTGTAAGTTTCAGGCTTAGGTAAATATACCATGTTTTGAGGTTAAATCTGCTTCAAGGAGACAAAATTATTAGCTTGCCAGACTTACACTTGAAAACTTYGTGTTTTCACAAATTCTGGATACAATCAAAAAGGTTTGCATAGCAGTCCCCTTCCTGGTTCAGCACTTGGTTGCAGCTGTGTCAGTAGTATCCTAAATATATTTTTCATTGTACTTTTGAAGCATTTATATTTTAGATAAGTCTGAAACTTAGAACTTTCTGCACACATTCCACTGTAATTTTACGATACACCTATCATTGGATCTGGGGTGCATTAAAAGGAGTAACCATGATTTAGAGTACAAAAGCACTAAGAAATGAAGACAGAAACAGGCAAAAAGTTACAAATAAATGGAATTTATGGAAATAAGAAAGCAGAGGTGTAGAATGAAGGAAGAGCCTGTTGTACAATACTGGTGTAGCAGAAGGATGTGGCTATGTCCAGGGGCAGGGTCCTTCATCGCTTTTTGCAGGATAGTGTCTGTCCTTGCCCTWAGTGTGTGGAGTACAGAGAGAAATATGCTAGGAAAAGAAGAGAAACAATGGGTAATCATCAAATCAACAGAAATCTCTTTGTAATGCAGGGCCAGATCATAGCAGAGGAACATCTTGAATCTTTCAGAAATCACTTCAGCCTACTGGTGCAGTGAGCTATTCTTGAGTTTGAACGTGGCAGGCTGATTTATAATGCTCTGCAGAATAGTCTTGTACTTCTTCTCTCCTGGCTGATTTTGGTAGCTAAGCACGGACACAGAGTCTAATATAGAAAGGAGATACTGTGTATTCTGTGTGGGGTGCAGAAATTGAGCACACGGAGGAGTAAAAGTTGCATCTTTTATAGAGTAAAATTTACATGAACCCTTCCACCTAATGCATATTCTCCACCTACCTAATATATATTTTGTGATGTAGCTTTACACAATTCTTGAAACATAAAGTTCTTTTTTATTAAGCAACTTCTGTTTTAGAAGTTGTCTGACAACATCAGTCACGTTTACAAAAGATGAGAAGATTCAGCTGGGAGACAGATCATTCAGCTTGAAGGCACTAATATGAGATTGACTACAGCAATAGTGGAGTAATTTGTCTCTAGAATAAGAGAAACCTCGGATATTACGTGTTCATRCCTAGTTTCTACACGTATCAGTAGCGCTGGGTTGTAAATGTTCCTACTAAAAGTAAAGTCTCTTTTTTATCGTAACAATAACGCATTTTTTAAGTAGCCCTGTAGCAGGATTTCTGAGGTTAGAAATACAGGATGATTTCTAAAGCGAGAGCGGTGGCATCAGCATAGATTCCCCCCGTTCGTCTCTGCTCTCCTCGGGCGGGCCGTGCCGGGGCGGGCGCGGGGCTGAGCCGGGGCTGGGGCCGGGGCGCGCGGCCCGGGACGGCAGCGGGGGCGGCTCGGCTGCTCCCATTGGTCGGATTTGGATCCGCGGCGCCATTGGTCGGAGCGAGCCAGTGTGCGCTGCAGCCAATCAGAGAGCGGGAGGGGCGCGTGCAGGAGCTATAAAATCGGCCGCGCGTGCGGCGCGGAGACACGTGACTACGTCAGTTTGGGCGGCGGCGGTTCTGTGTCGGCAGAGATGTCCGGGCGCGGGAAGCAGGGCGGGAAGGCGCGCGCCAAGGCCAAGTCGCGCTCGTCGCGGGCCGGGCTGCAGTTCCCCGTGGGCCGCGTGCACCGCCTGCTGCGCAAGGGCAACTACGCGGAGCGCGTGGGCGCCGGCGCGCCGGTGTACCTGGCGGCCGTTCTGGAGTACCTGACGGCCGAGATCCTGGAGCTGGCGGGCAACGCGGCCCGCGACAACAAGAAGACGCGCATCATCCCCCGCCACCTGCAGCTGGCCATCCGCAACGACGAGGAGCTCAACAAGCTGCTGGGCAAGGTGACGATCGCGCAGGGCGGCGTGCTGCCCAACATCCAGGCCGTGCTGCTGCCCAAGAAGACCGACAGCCACAAGGCTAAAAGCAAGTGAAACAAGTCCCAGGAGTGTTTCTRCCTTAGAAGTAACCCAAAGGCTCTTCTCAGAGCCACCCACTTTCTCATAAAAGAGCTGTACATCATACCAAAACAAAACTTGGAAAACGCCTAAGCTGTGTCCGTGRAACTCCAAAACAAACTAAAAACAACAAAAACACTCCAAAACCTTTGTATTTTTGCTCTCAGAAAAAAACCACACCAACCCAAACCCCTTATATCTCAGCTTTTGAAAATAAGATTAAATTATAAGAAATCCCATTATATTTTAGCACATTATTGCTGGCAAATGCATACTAAAAGAGATTTATATAATGCRATCACTTTGTATAAAAATTAATCACTGAACTGGTGGGGGTGAGAAAGATGCAGGGTTTGTTAACACTAGGAAAGAACCCACAGCCACATGCCTCTCATTTTAGCTTGGCCCTGTGTGAAGTTCAAGTAATTCATCTATGTCTTTTAAAACAGTCCTGCCCCCTCTAAATTTTTATAACTACAGACTTTGTTGTTGCGTTTTGTTTTTTTTTTTTTTGTTGCTAGTTTTTTTGTGTGTTTTGGGATTTTTTTTTAATAATAGGCATTCTGTATTACTAGTTTTTAAACATTAAAAAAAAAAATCTAAGACCTGCCGAGCCCATTTTCTGCCTCAAATCTGAAGGAGTTTGAGAATAATTGTTCATCACAGCAGACAGGCAAACTGAAGTAGAAAACGCTTGCCAGTGCCAATTTTGATTCTACCTTATACATAGTGCTAAATAGGAACCATAACTACGTTGGAATAGAAACAGAAAGTCTGCTATTATTGGTCAATAAAACATATTTTAATAATTATCCATTCAAAAACATATAAATTACTTGAATCATAACATTTTCCAGAATTTTAGTATCACCAACGGTTACAATAGCAAGAGGTGAAAAGGASTTCACAGGCTTTTGTCAAAACAAGAGGTTCTAGGCATTAATAAACACATCAGAAAATACTACTTATAATTCTTTGTACTCTGAAAAACAATGTGCTTTTATTTTTAATTGAAGCTCTGTCATGGAAAAGTGCTTCTGAAGACTGTCACCCTTCCTGCTAGCAGCCAGTTGTCTCAGTACAGCAGATACATCAAGATATGCCATTTTTAATATCGCTTCTTAATGTAGGGATCAGTCACTGGAGAGTAAGAAAATGGAATATTTAGGAATCTGCTGTGAAAGAGGAATCTGAACTGATTACTTGAGCAAGTTTTATTGTGTAGAAGTGGTAAAATCAGATGCAGCAGTGTCTCCTTAGACAATGATGACTCAGATTTTTGCCAGTCCAGCTGTATCAAAATGAAAGCACTGATATATTATCAAGCAATAGGACACTGATTAGAATTATTAATAAAAATTGGCTGTGTTAAGTTTTTATGTCACCTAATTTACTAAGAAAGTGAGTATTTCTGTAGCAGAGGACAAGGGAACCATGTCTGTATTGTGTACACTGAGCAACATAGCACAAACTSCTATGCTGTAAAAAGTCACCTCCTTTTRGGGCACAAAAAGCCCTTCTTAGGGCTTTAATGTGCTTCTTGCCTTGCTGCATAATGCACTAGTTTAATTTATCTTAATTTTTTTTAAAGAGGTAAAGGATTTTGGACAAAGGAGCTAATTTCTAATCCATATTCAGTGCTCAAGATGAGCCTGTGTTACTTCCTCCTCTTTGAAATCAATTTGTGACTAAAATATAGATCCAAATCCCTGAATTTCACTTCAGATTAAGAGAAGACCCTTTAAAGAATATTAATTAATTACTTTGGAAATTTAATTCCCCACGTCGCGGATTTTATTTAGAAGGAAAAACAAAAGTTTCTGTCTCCCGAGGTCTGTTCAGGTCCAGGACTCAAGGTTTATCGCCTCTTTTTAAGCTCACCCGTTGCCTCTTCGAAAGGAAACTCGGCCGAGGGGAACAAGAGTCTTTCTTTGCCACGCCGCTGCGAACTGGGGGGGGGTCGGTGGCAGAAATTCAGATAAAAACAGCCGTTTTTGGCTCCTAAGAAACACAACATGAGCGGGGAGAAGGGACCTTTCTGCCGTGCAGCGGGGCGGGCTCTGCAATGCACCAATCACCGCGCGACTCCGCTCTATAAATATGAGGCCGCCGACTTGCTCCAGGCCCAGTGGTTCCTCTGGTTCGTTGAGTAGCGCTGACACAATGTCGGAGACTGCGCCTGTTGCCGCTCCCGCTGTCTCTGCTCCCGGCGCCAAGGCCGCCAAGAAGCCGAAGAAGGCGGCGAGCGCCTCCAAAGCCCGCARGCCCGCGGGGCCCAGCGTCACCGAGCTGATCACCAAGGCCGTGTCCGCCTCCAAGGAGCGCAAGGGGCTCTCCCTCGCCGCGCTCAAGAAGGCGCTGGCYGCCGGCGGCTACGATGTGGAGAAGAACAACAGCCGCATCAAGCTGGGGCTCAAGAGCCTCGTCAGCAAGGGCACCCTGGTACAGACCAAGGGCACCGGCGCCTCCGGATCTTTCAAACTGAACAAGAAACCGGGTGAGACTAAAGAGAAGGCAACGAAGAAAAAGCCGGCTGCCAAGCCCAAGAAGCCGGCAGCCAAGAAGCCCGCCAGTGCTGCTAAGAAGCCCAAGAAAGCAGCGGCGGTTAAGAAGAGCCCCAAGAAGGCYAAGAARCCGGCGGCTGCGGCGGCCAAAAAAGCTGCCAAGAGCCCCAAGAAAGCCGCAAAGGCAGGCCGGCCCAAGAAGGCAGCGAAGAGCCCGGCTAAGGCGAAGGCGGTGAAGCCCAAAGCAGCCAARCCYAAGGCAGCCAAACCCAAAGCAGCCAAGGCAAAGAAGGCGGCGCCCAAAAAGAAGTAAGACGATCGAGAGAAATTGAGTCTACTCTTAAATAAACCCAAAGGCTCTTTTAAGAGCCACCCACTTGTTCTCAAAAAGAGCTGAAACRCTACTATAATACATCAGGAAATACTAGGGATTTTAGTAGGAGTTGCCACGGCGTTAATAAAGTTCAGATTTTGGGTTTGTGTGTGTTCGGTAGAGCCTGAGCGGGACACCGGCGTTACCTTTAAGAGGAATTGTGTCCCTACGTGCAACTTGGGAGCGCTGCGATAACAGCTGCGCCTGCCCCGCCCCCTGTTCATTGACCAGCGCGGCCCAGGGCAAGAGGAGGCGGCGGTGGAAGCGGCCCCGCGGAGCAGGAGCGACCTTCGCTCCGGTGCCCGGGGGAGTTTAAAATTGCCGCGTTGGGCCGTGATTGGCCCCGCACCGCCCAGCCGGCCCCGCCACCGCCTTCCCGCCGAGCGCCGCCCTCCAGGGCAGTGACCCCCCCCCCGCAACCTCCGCGGTGCCATCSCCACTCCGGGAGCGAGTGCTGGGCGATCGGTGACGTGCGGCCCCGCACCGGCTCTCCCTCCCCTGTCTCACGGCCTTCGAGCCGGGTGTGGCTGGGGGAGGCGGGGAGGGGAATGGAGCCGGGATGGGGAAACGTGCGTGCCGTGCCACGGCCCTGCCCGGATACAGGTTCTGCGGAGCGCCGCTCACACGGCGGCGCGGCGGGGCACGTTCCGATTCT